CCTCCTGCTGGGGATGGATGGTCTCTGCTACAGGAGCTGGGTACTCTCTTACCTGGTGGCTGATAGACTTATCAACACCTGCTGGAGTGACAAATGGTGTACCTCCAACACACCACCTCCAAGATGTACCGCCGACCCTAATGTAATCAATAACTACAACACTGAGGTAACACACAACCACAACAACCACCACAACACTGAGGTAACACACAACCACAACAACCACCACAACACTGAGGTAACACACAACCACAACAACCACCACAACACTGAGGTAACACACAACCACAACAACCACCACAACACTGAGGTAACACACAACCACAACAACCACCACAACACTGAGGTAACACACAACCACAACAACCACCACAACACTGAGGTAACACACAACCACAACAACCACCACAACACTGAGGTAACACACAACCACAACAACCACCACAACACTGAGGTAACACACAACCACAACAACCACCACAACACTGAGGTAACACACAACCACAACAACCACCACAATACTCAGGTAACACACAACTGGTGAAGCACGTCAGGAAGTCTTACCGTCAACCTCCAAAACGCTGGCTGGCCGACCCTACAAGTTACCAAGCTGATCAGTAAGAGTTCTCTGTGCCCTGCCCTGCCTTGCCCTGCCCTGCCCTGCTCTGTTCTGCTCTGCCTTGCCCTACCTTGTCCTGCTTTGTCCTGCCCTGCCCAGGTCAGACCTGTCATGCCCTCCTCTGTCTTACCCTACCATGCTTCGCTCTGTCCTGCCCCGCCCTGAGGACATCGGGAGAAATTTTTGTTACATGCTACAAATAATCATGATGGCTACTGGGAGAGGCTCGCATACCTGCCTCCATGGTCTTATGTTTTAATCTCTCATGTTCAGTGTGTCTGTGTGTGTGTGCGCGCGAGTGTTTCTGCGTCTTGGCCAAGTGGTCAGAACACCGTTCTTGAATTCAAGGTTAAGGATTTGAGTCCCAGCTTAGCCCGTGTCCTCATGGTCAAGGGAAATTCCCCCTTCCCCACCTCATATTTTACTGAAAACGGATTCAGCCATGAAGGTGAACTGCAGAAGCTAGGTCGTGTTGGCTTAATGTTTTCAGGGAATGTTAATGAGATAAATATGTAACCTCTTCCACCATCAACCTTCCACTGACACATTGATCAGAATTTTCAAGTGACAAAAGAGTAAAGTGTGAAGGTGACAGCTTGACTACGGTAGAACCGACTCTGCTCTATTGTAGTCAAGCTGTCACCTTCACACTTTACTATTTTATGTCACTTGAAAATGTTAACAAAGAGATCAAAAGTTTTTAAGCCAGATTTTACCTGGTGTTGTGTTGTACCTCCAGCGCTCAGTGTGATAATTGTATTCTTTCTTGTACCCTGGAAGCTCCCTGTTGATCAATATTTACACTAGTCTTCAACTTTCTCGCCCAAGGTAAATTTTGTGATAACCAACCCCCCTCCTCTCCCCTCCCCACCATCACTAGTATCAACCTGGTGTCCTCTCCCCCTCAGTATTGCCTGGTAAAACTTGACAGTAGATTTTCGGGTGTCTAAGTAGTTTTGTCATTGGTCCTTGACGACCTGAAGTACGACCTACTTCTGTTTTTCTTTGCGTGTATTAAGACAACTATGTATTCCTCCATGACGACCTTTGTGGTCAAAGAACCTAGTGTTCTCTTTAAACAAAGATCTTGTCTTCCTTGGTCCATCTAGTCCTTTCATTTTGAACTTTATCTCACGTGTTACAGTAAGGTGGAAGGTGCCACAAAGGGCGCCAGACCTTGATGACCGCCGCCCACTAGGTCCTGGTGTTGTGAGCCTTGTCAAGGACCAGACCCTACGAGTACTTCAAGTAATTTTCAGCTGCCTGGAGGAAAGGAGGCAAAAATAGGAAGCTACGCAGAAATAGGTAGCTTTCTTTCCTTCCTCAGGGTGATCTAAAGGTGCCTACGGAAGATGAAGAATAACCTTGGCCGTCAATCTGTCGTGCTGAAGGACACCCGGTGACAAGAAGTGGACACCATCAAGTGGCGTCTAGCCAAAAAAGATGACCGCTAGTTCCACAAGTTCGTGATGATCATTAAGTGGCTGTGATGTTTCAAAATGGTCCTGGCGAAGAAGTCACTAGCGGCTTGGATGATCTGACAGTAATTTGTTCGTTCTGGACTGTAGGAAGTTGGACGGTGAAGATCGGTTAGGTTAATTTAAGTTAGGTTAGGTCAACGGTGGTAGCAGGGAATCGTCTAACAACCGGACTGTTGACGCTGCCGTAGATATGAAACCGCCGACAGGAAAAGGTTGGGAGAGTTGGAGTGCCTCATACAGGGGACGATGACTTGTTAAAACACGTTAAAAATGTGAACCACTTTACCCTGAAACTTTCTCCAAGCAAACTATAAGTTACATCTTGGAATGTGAAAGCGGCTCCCATTAAGCCTGACGGCCAGCTAAGGGCAGTATAAATACACAACACTGTATACTAAGTCTTCATTAGAAATGAAGATCTACACTACACTCGACAGACTTCGCCTCCACAACTGGAAATTTAGGCAACCATTCACAGCTGGATGAATTGGAGGTGCCCGGGGCATGAACCGTCGAACATTAGGACAGGAGGTGAGTGTCTCTCCCTTATCACTACAGCAACAGTACTACGACGCTCGCGCACTCACACACACACACACACACACACACACCAGCGTCTATGGCAGTAAAAGCAGAGGCGGAAGATCTTGTTTCACGGAAGGGGAGTGACGGTGTTTACTAACGAGTGTTGATGTAATATGGATCTCCCTCTAGCCTTCACCTTTGTGCCAGTTGCTAGGTGATATTGTTTGACTGGTACTGACACCATAACATACACTTACTTAACCTTTGCCAGCCTCTAAACAATGAATTTTTCTTTAAATTACAAGAAAAGACAGACAGACATACAGACAGACATACATACAGACAGACAGACAGACACATAAAAGAAAATATCAACAGATGAAATGAGAGAAAGACAATAGTGAAAAAAAAACATTGCACAAACAGAAAAGAAGAAAACAGATACACCAGCCGTTATCGATCAAATAATTATACATTACGGTATTAAAAAAAAAAAAAGGTGTGGTCCTCCCAGTTGGTACAGTCCATCACGCAGAGTTCTGTTGCTGGGACCTGGAGAAGCTTATTACCTTTATCGTCAGATGGTGTTGAGGCCGATTCCCTCTACCAAGACCCATCTCAACGCAAAAACCTGTTGACATTTGACGCACTAGCTCAAGATGTTTTGGGTCAGAGGTGCGTGTGTGTGTGTCCAGTGAGTTGTATCGGGGAAGTACTACTCGGTTCTTCTTAATCTGGAGGACACTGTTTAAAGCAAGTCATTGATGGGAGGTGCTTGTACTAAAGTTCAGTCCCCAACACAAAGAGGAACTCGCCTCCTCTCTCGTTTCGTCTATTATTGAGAACCACCTAAACATTTGAGTCATCTTTGTTGACATTGCTGTGTACGGTCATCACTGATACAGCTTTCTTATTATTCGTTTAGTTTAATGCATTCTATAAACCCAGAAGCTACGATGACAGCGCTCTGGACACACGGGTTTGTTCTGTCTTAAAGGGTTGGTGGAGCGTCATTCTGTTGTATGGTTGACCTCCAGCCATCAGCAGGGGCCTCAGCTAAGCTAACATTGCTAGAATAGAAGATGCGCCAAGCAACATTTCTGTCTTAGCTTTACATGTAGCTGAAGTAAATGACTCTCCTGGGGTAACCGTAGGGTGAATAACAGCACCAACGTATGGTTAAACAGCTACATATTTTTTCGGTGACGTTTCAACAATATTTTTGTCATCATCAGATCTAAAGCATCAAATAATTAACAACAGCACCAATAAAAGCAATGTACCATTGGGTACAATCAGTACTTTAATTAAATAAAATATCACAAACAACATTAAAACATTGAATTAGCAGCTACTAAAATTTATTACATTTAACAACACATAAAAACCCAGCGTAGCAGAAGTTGAGAACCTAATACCAAAGATGAAAACAGAAGGTATTAACGCTGATAAACCAAATAGTAATACACCTGTACATGACGGCCCTCCATTAACACAACTTACAGTCAACTGGTTTGGTTTATATCATTATCTTATATAATTTCGCCAGGTGGGATGGGGCGAGGGGGGTTACCTGTTCCTCTGTCCCGACAAATATTTATCTACCTAGTACCAGACTTTGGTGTAGAAACTGAGGAAAATCCAGAATAATATTTGGGGATAATAAAAACAAAAATACAATGTCTACAAAAGTACTCATATAATACTGATAATGCCACAAATATATTCCACATAATTCTACACACACACATCTACTGTATACGTAATACATACATTACAAATTATATGATGTATACAAATAGCATATACATATCATTACCTACCGAACATAATTATAATTTGTAAAGCTCTTTTGTGGATACCTGTATTGTTACGTTATAATGTCTGCTGTAGATTCCATCGTTTATGAGATAGTGCCGAGTACCTCCACGAGACTCACACAGACAGAACGATGGTCCACATTTTTAAGGAGACTTATCAAAATGTTCAGTGTTATTGACATATTTCGAAACACTTCTAACAAGTGCTGTCGCTTTTACAATAATAACATCGGGATGTGTATGTTTGTCTTATCACAGATTAGTAAATACACACTTTTGTTTTAGACACCGACATTCTCGAGACCCATCCCTGTTGTCACTTTATAGGACGATGACCAAAGACTACTGGGGACCTTTTCTCCCAACCACACACTCTACCGCGTCCCGCCATCCTGGCTGTCTTGGTTACATTTTCTCTCCCGACCAATCAGTGTTCAGAACCCCTGCATGTCAGCCAATGAGTGCTCCTCCTGTTGCCTCACCCCACCTCGCTTACCCTAGACGACTTACATACGAGGGCGTGTCACTTATTATAGCCTCACCAGCTATCTCGTATAAAGTCTCGAGGAACCATTGCCTCCACATCACTCGAGGATTCAGAGCCCTTCTGCCTTGTCTCGGCTGTGGGTCTGCCAACAGGACTAGAGGAACCCGTACATCATTAGATTAAGTGGTCCTGAAAACTTTGTCACAAGCAGGTTAAGTGATTCAACAACCCTGACTCCCAGCAGGTGAAGTGATTCGGAACACTTGGCCACTAGCAAGTGAAGTGATTCAAAGGACCGAATAAAAAGTGGCTCGGTGTTGTATTCTGCGGGTAAGCAACAAGTGAGTTCAAATCTTTCTTTTAAACCCTCGAGTGTGAGAGACTGTCCACAACCATCGGTATACAAATAGAACCAATAATTAAAGACACTGCGATATTTATTCACGATCGTAAATGACGTTTTAAAAACTTAATGATCTTGGATTACAACCTTTATCTCTTAGTATTATAAAAGGCTTCTATAAGCCTCCATCTCTCTCTGGTCTCGAGTTATGACCGGAAACATGATTCTGACTTGTCTGTGATCTGGAATTTAGTCTTTTCATTTTTTTTACTGACACTTTACAATTAAAAAATAAATAAAAGATTTAACGCCTCCGCTAAAAAAGTTTTTGTTTATCTAAAAATCTATTGTATATTATGAGAGATTCGTGTCACAACACAACTTGTCATGGAGGCCTTGAACGTTCACGAAGCATCGCCTGAGAGGTCACTCATTCTGCACCACCCAAAATGCCCATCAATCTCGTCCCAAATCAGTGCAGGCAGCGACTTTACAACTGGTAAAAACCTTCGAGCTTGTTACCACCCCTCAGCTGCTTCAAAAGATGCAAAAAATAAATAAAAAATCCCCGCCCACGTGTTAGGCTCCCATCACACGAGCGAATTTTCACGCTCACAAGGTCGTGTGAGGGGAGCCTTAGTGAGTCTAGTGACGGTAAGTGATCATAACGTAGCCATTTCCAAGTTCTTTTGTACCTGTATATTACTGAATTAGAAATAAAATAGTGTTAACATCTTACTAGATTAGGTTTTTTCTGAGAAATTAGAGAATCCTGACTTGATTCTCTTACAGCAGCCCAGTCCTTTAGTAATCAAGGAGCCAAGACAGTTTTTTAAGAGTTAAGTATTGGATATTTCCACAATATAATATAATTATTATATTAAACTCCACTTCTGCCATTGTATACAATTCTCATATTTTTTTCTAAGTTTATAATCAAATGCTTCGTCAAACTGTATTGTATATCGTCGAATCTCAACATTCTCGTATCATAAACTTGCACAAGGACATCATATGATTCCTGACCAATAGTAAGAGCCGGGAGAGAGTTACTTCACCACTTACATTATCTGAGTTACACATCACCTTAGTAACAGTTCGGGGAGTTAGTCTGTTCTTTGTTACAACCTTTACTGCCCAGTGTTGGTACAGGAAGAAAGTGGAGCACCCGGAGTAAACCTGTGATGATTGGTAGGGCTTCACACTGGATAACACCCTTCTCACATCTGAACAGGCCTCAAGTCCTCACACCCTGTTGTTCTGGGAGGATTGAATGCTATTAAAAGATATGGTCCCCGACACTATTTGGACGAGACTCTCTATAGATAGACCTTGGACAAGACTCACTATGGAGGGTCAAGGTCGCCAGAGTGGTACCATATATTACTGACGAGTGAATCAGTACAAAAAGTAGACCCGTTGTTCCACCCACCGCTCTCGCCTCCTGGCAGTGTGTGTAAACATTGTCTTGTTATAGTCTATCTAATATCAGTTTCTTGAATTAAAAAACAACAACTGCAGACTTTATAATAAGATGCAAATCTTGTATCTTCAAGTATTCATTCGTTGTTTTACACTGTAGGGCGAGGTCAGGTACACACGATAGCAAACAACAACTATAAGACTGTATTCTGTCACATTATTAAGGTTGGTGTATTATAATAGATATTAAACTCTACAACAAGGATATCATTAGATCCTTGGGTACGTCAACACAAAGCATTCTTAGAAGGATTATTTATAATGCTTAATAGTTCAACTGCTCTTGCAATCACGTAACTTTAACTTTTCAAATACAAGGGTTGCTGGTTTGTACTCTTAATCTAGAACCTTGGTTTGTACTGGAAAAAGTGCTGGCAATGTATTATTTCTGACAAGAAGATTAAATCGTCGAAGTTTTAAGTGGGCAATAATTTTTCAATTTCTCTTTGATGTATAATGCAAGTCTCTCACAAACACACGCCACCAATTGTCGTCAACTCACACGGTGCTGAGATTATATTCACTTTCAGCCTCATACTACTGAAGGTGAAAAAAAATTATGCCCAACTCCTGTTTTTGCAGAAAGAAATGGTACTTTGAAGTTGTTTAAAATAAATTTAAAACTCACTATCAAGGCGGAACAAGAGGAGGTTTATCGAATAGCCCCCAAGAAACTGGGCGAAATTTTCGTCAAACATTAATGATAAAACATTCTTGGTTTTGTTTTGTGGACACGATTCAAGCTCACATTATTTAATACTATTTAATTTATTATTTTGTAGGCCTTGGTTGTGTCCACCGAGTAAGAGGAAGACACCGCATGTTGGGAGAACACTGAACAGTACCTCGTGTGTGTTGGAGGAGCAGAAGTACAACGCCCCAGCAGGATGGTGGCGGGAGGACTGGTGGCCGCCATGCGGTCCATCACCGTAGAACCTATCATGCTCCTCGACGGGGCGTGCAAGGAGGCCATGCTCATCTTCATCGAAAACGTCCAGATGAACAAAATATGCTCCGTCAGTTTGGGTCTCTCACCAGAGGTAAGTGTTCCAACTGTGTCAGGAAGTCTTGATAAAAGCCTGATTACATCCTCGTGGACTCAGTGCTGATGCAGGTCCTATACTAGTAATTTATCTCCGAGAGATCACACACACAAGCCACCGGTCACAGAAAGCTAACATGCTAAGGCGCTGGCAATAAGCCTGACGTGACAATCATAAAATTTCCGAATAAGGGAAGTAATTATATGTGCAATGATTCTTTAATACGAAAACTTCAGGAATCAAAAATAACATTTCTATCTTGTACTTTTAGTGTTACCATAAACGAGTAAGGTTCACTGGTGGAGACAATCGCCCGATTAAGCTTTTTTTTTGCAATATATTGATAGGAATCATTTCATACTACATCTTGAATAAGATGTTTCATTAGTTCATCGATCTCAGTAGTGTATCATCAGCTCCACTTCATAGGTTAGGTTAGGTTAAAGTGCCCCGACTGACACCTGCATCATCTGTCTGCCATCTCTATAAAGCCTCATTAATTTTGCCTCGTTGCATGTCAGTACAGTTTGTCCAGTAGTTCCTTGAAATGGTGTTAATACACATGTAATTTATCAGTTTAGGTCTTCAGGTTTGTTATTCACATCATCAGTAAACAATAGTGTGTCTACATTTATTTAGTCACATCATATATCTGGTCCCTTCACACTAGCTCTATAATTAAACTGGGTGTCCTCGCAGATATGCGCCAACCTGACAAACCACAAAGAGGAGAGTGTGCTCGTCCAGCGAGAGTTCTCCCTCTTCACCTTCTACAACAGCATCATCATGTCGGTGCTGCCTCTCATCTTCGTGCTCTTCATGGGCGCCTGGAGTGATAAATACGGCCGTAAGGTGAGTAAGGGACACAGCCAGTCAGGGCATCACATTCCTGTAACAAGATGGAATTTGTTTTGTTATCTTTACTCCTTTTACGTTTATTGTCATGAAGAACTTTTATTAATGTCTTTAACATTATTCTGTTATTCTACTTAATGTTATTGTGGACAGTTTCCACTGCTGATGACGCTGGTGGGTCATGCGATGTATGCCGGGGGTTACCTGTTGGCCAACTGGCAGACCAGCTGGCCCGTGGAGGTGCTCTACCTGGTGACACTATTGGAGGCGCTGGGAGGAGCCAACGTAGGTATCCTCTCCTCCACCATCAGCTATATCAGCGACATCTCCAGCGAGAAGCAACGGACGTCTCGTATCGGCACCATTAACTCCATGTGGTATTTGGGCGCTCCAATCGGTACGCTGACTGGCGCTCTTATCATCAAGTACAGCGGCTACGACATGGCTCTGGGCCTCGTGCTACTCGCCTATGTCGCCTCTATTGTTTACGTCATTGTATTCATCGAGGAGAGCCACGGGCCCTTCGCCAAGAAGGCGCTGCAGGCGCAGGGCTCACTCAAGGACGTGCCCACCATGGATAAGAAGGACGTAAGAGCCATCACCATGTTGACCGACTTCTTCAACTGGCGACACGTGGTGGAGTCCTTCAAGACGGCGTTCAAGAAGCGTGAGGGTGACGCCCGGAGTGTCCTCATGGCTGTCATCATCGGCAACATGATTCGTCGTATGGCCAGAGGTAACCGTCTGTCCATCACCTCTCTGTAAAGCCCTTGTTTATGCTACTACATATCATTACTTCTAGAATCTGAACACACATAATATCCCGGCAAACTGTACTCTGTATATGAGTTGAAACATTAACTTTAAACCCCTAACGTTTTGCTTCTGTCGCAGGGTTCTTCATGTACATGTTTGTGCGTCGCGCCCTGCACTGGGGGGCCACCGACTACGGCTACTGGATCTCATACCGCAACCTGCTGGTTGCCCTCGGTGCGTTGACTTTGGTTCATTACACATCTTACATTTTCAGGTTATGTTTACATTAAAAATAATGGCAACTGATTCTGCATTAGACACGAGGTCAACAGTTCAGCACTATAAATAACACAAAAATTTACACCTTTTATTCACAGCTTTCTTGACAAAATACCAATTAGGTCTTACTCAATCTTTAACTGCATGCAGAAATTACACGTTAGTATGTGCAGTCACAAGAATTTGTTTATGTGATATGTCTTCAGGCTCGCTGTTCCTGGTGCCGTTCCTGACGCGGCTGCTGTCGTTCACGGATATGTCACTGGTGGTATTGGGGACTTTGTCCATGATCTTTGAGTACTTGTGCTACGGACTGGTGATCGGGCCTTCCCAGACCTTCCTCATGTGGCTGGGGCCGCCTGCAGGTATCATCTCTAATGTGATGGCCATCGCCTTCAGATCTATGTCTACCAAACTCGTCACCAAGCAGGAGAAAGGTGAGCACATTAGTCCATTCTTTTTTCTAATGGCCAAGTTAGCATGTTCCCTTACAGTCACTGGAACACCTTCTAGTGTACTCTTATTTGAAGTAATTATGCAGAAGCGTCCGGACAACTATCCATACCACTCTGACTTTGTTTGATTCCTGAAGCTAGCACACATGACTGTCCTCCAGATAAGCTTGGTCCTGGTTATTATCTTGCCTTCAAATACTTATTTTCACCTACGATTTTCCGGGAATAATCTACTATATCCTTCAGTCAATGCTCGTTGCTTCCTCCCTCACTATTACAATATTAGAACCTTGGTCTGCTCTCGTCATGTACCAAGTAATAGTTAAATCTGAAGGACATTTTCACATAACGACTCAGGCCAATGAATGTTTCAGGTTGGCCGACATTCCTTCCTCGTTGGTTAAAATGATACTCAAGTGTTTGTTCACCTCTATAGTGGGTTGAATTTTTTAAATGTGTTGAAACAGAACCGGTAAAGATTCGAAAGTGACCGTAATGTGAAAGTGACAACTAAAAAAAAATGGTTTATCTTATGTTTTTCTTGGTTAGTTAAAAGATTATGAGCATTTGTTTCGTCCCTGTTGATTATATTATTTAAGATGTGACCCAAAACTAACGCTAACGACATTTTTTTTTTACAAAGAGGCCAGAGGCTAAAAAGATAGGGGAAAATGTGGTGTATGTTTACTCATCAATAAACACCATTATCATCCCCCATTACCAGGATGATGGTCCTTTACCATCGTTGGGTTGTCTATTAAGGATCTCAAATTCCAATGACTAGATAAACTACAATCACATTAAAGCTGCAGTTCCCTTTGATATCGTTTATTCTAATTCGCTATTTATTCTTTAATATTTACTCGTTACTTATCAGGGTACATCATCTTCAATATGCGGTGCAGATATTCATACATATCCGGCCCAAGGTATTAGTCTCGTTGCATTAGTGTTGTCGTGTTGACTAAACAGTTGTTGTGGACCAATCAGGTGCTGGCGTTGACTCAAGTCATTCAAACTAAACACAAAAAATTATCAGGCGAGTTAAAGGAGTAGATGATCACACACGAACAGAAACAGCCCCGAGGCGTCGTACTCCCTGCGCGCACAAGTGAACTCGACTGAGCTTTGGGCACCAAGTGACTGCGTGAGACACTATCTGGTCGGCGCCGAGTGTAGCCAGACACACTTTATTTATTTGTTTATTTATATTAACGTTCCCAATTTGATTCTTTACAGACTGATTTGCTTCACTGAGTAAAATTCCTGAGCACATTTATTAATACGGTACAGCGGGGAAATTACGGTTTATCACAGTTTTACAGTGATTACGGTGTGTTCTGGACTCCTAGGCCAAAACTAATTAATTTCTTCTTTTGTTTTATATCATCTAATAGGAAATTTACTAAAGTACATTATGTTCTCTGTATTAGCCACCCAATGTTACGTTACAGGCATTCAAGATGTCTTCGTAATTATAAGTGTGTACAGGCCGAAACATGCCAACTATACCCTTTCCACGCTAACCTGGCCCAAAGGCCACGCCCTTCGTCTATAGCTACAAATAGCTGATTGCTTCCCCTATGCGCTTTACCTCCCCCCGGAGTGCGCGTGTATAAGCGCGTATTTACATCGACCTTTTGTGATAAATATTTAAAATTTTCTAACATCCTCTCTGAAGTGCTAATGCCTTGAAATCCTCTACATTTTGATGGATCAAATATTTAACATTATTTTAGATAATAACAGGTCTGCTTACCAATTGTGATCACATTTAGTTTGAATTTTCTATGAACCAATCAGCTATTAGTCTAGAAGAGGGGCGTGGCTTATGGGCCAGGTTAGCTTGGAAATACTACAGGGTGATTCAGCAGAGTACATTAAATTAGAGGATGAAATCCTTGGATACTTCTAAACCACAATGTCTCTATGGTATTTATCTTTACGCAACTTTCACTCATCGACTGTTGAGTAATTAAGATTACTAAATGAAGGAAAGTGTCGCATCTGGATTACATTGTCAACCCATCTACTTGTTAAACAGTCCAGAAGTCCTGCCTGCTTGTAACAAGCATTGTGATGTAATAATTACAGTATATAATATATAGGGCAGGCCCGAGACACACCCAATGTTGGTTTGTGTGTTACTCACAAACAAGTAATAAATTGTCTTACACTGGTATATTTCAAGTACTAAAAGTTTCATAATAATAATATGAAACTTTATATTATAAAGTTTTAGTCGGTAATATTCTGTTA